TCTCTTATACACATCTAGATGTGTATAAGAGACAGATGTTTGGGGTGTCGGCGCGTGTACTATGTTATCACGCTCGCGGGCTCTTGTCGAGAGCGTGTTGCACAAAGGAGTGACTCAAGTTCCTTGATTAACTGTTAACGAGTGAGATTCATGATGGGCAGGCAAGCAGAGCCTACGCGTCAAGTCCATCGCACCCATCATGTACAATATCTATCTGCGTAACCCCCGGAGATCTCGGAGATTCGTATCCTGCCGAGTACACACACAAACAGATGATGGTCTTGGCCGTGCAAGAGGAAGCGCAAGAAGACCAGACTTTCGTTCCACTACTGCGTCAAATCCACGCTACAGCACATCGTTTACTGTACTCGTAATCACCATTCGTCGTCGTTCGTCTATGCAGCACCTCTCAATTGCGCGATCGCATGAGAACGTCGTATCGTCANCGGAGATCTCGGAGATTCGTATCCTGCCGAGTACACACACAAACAGATGATGGTCTTGGCCGTGCAAGAGGAAGCGCAAGAAGACCAGACTTTCGTTCCACTACTGCGTCAAATCCACGCTACAGCACATCGTTTACTGTACTCGTAATCACCATTCGTCGTCGTTCGTCTATGCAGCACCTCTCAATTGCGCGATCGCATGAGAACGTCGTATCGTCAGCTCTCCACGAGCTGTGCACATATGTTCGTTCATTGTTGCCGCTGCATATCGTTTGAGCAACGTTTTCCCAGCTGGTCGACCCACGTCATTTGTCATTCGACACTTGTGAAAGTTCAGCCTTGCAAGCAATAACAGTCTTTCACATGTGCAATGTCAAATTATTTTTCGTTGCTGGATGTTCGTTACGTGCGACTACCAAGCAGTTCACGGCGTTGTCTCAAGGTACTACTGCTGTGCAGTTTTTTTACACTATCGGGGCAAGACGCGCACCGGAGTGATGTTTTTCCTATACACACGTCGTTCGTCGTACGGTAGATCACATGTTGCCTACAGCGCCGAGGCGGACTGAAGTGACATGTTCCGTACACCTTTCGTCATCTGTGAACTTATTCGTTCGTCGTACGGGAATAGTTGCCAAAATTCCTGAATTGCTCTCGTGCAAGCTGTGGTGGTGACTGCGCTATGTACGATTGATGCTCGGATGGGATATTTTGGTGACATGTTCCAAATTCATAACTACAAAATACAAAGCGTTCGTTGAATGATGGTAGTCGCCGTACGTTATGACCCCAGTCATTTAACTCATGTTTTTCATCAGTATTTCACAATTTCATACAATCTGAGGTATTTTTGTCATTCTTGTATCTTTCAATCCGGATTCAGGCCCCGAGATTAAAGATAGGGGGGTGATGTTAATGCCACCTCAGACTGTCGTTGATTGTGACGTCAGATGATCTGTCGGAGATCTACCTTCGGGGTGTTACCACAGATAGTCAGTGCAGGTTGGATGCTGAACCTTGCTTCAACACAAGGTTGATCCCCACCTGACACACACTCAACTCAACGTTCCGTACATCAGCCTCTCCACCAGAGGTGGATCCGGTAAGTATACACACCACCCATCCTAAGGGGACTTGCTCACACGCGAACCTGGAGACAACAGTCTCATGTAAAAAGTAGTAAATAGGTCCAAAAAGGCGAATGGATGCAATCTTGACCAACGATAGGACTGTGGGACGGACTAGAGACCAAGCTCTGCGCAAATCACAGGCGACTGCGAACATTTCGAGCGCGTGGTAAGCATAGGACCGCTGGGTGCAGTGTCTCCCAGCGATCGTTCCCACAGTGACCCCAACAGCCCAACAAGCAAGACCGCGCGCGCCATACAGAGAGAGCACGCTCTCACACCAAGAGCACAAGTCTAGAGAAAGCTCATCCCTTCATGCCGACGCGCCAAGTGATGGGAGATTTACACAAAGAGCAATGAAGACCGTCACTTGTGTATTGATCGCTTGAGCAGCAGTACCTGCTGTCTCCTTACTAATTGGATAGACTGAAGTAGACACAAATATTCAGAGATCACCCGGAGAGGGGTTGCCCACAAAGAATATTAACTGCATCCCATCTCCAATCCACATCCCGCCAGTAACTAATGTGTGCAAGGTTGGTCACATCAACCATACGGTGCGAAGAGCACCCTCCTCTTGCTCTTCCTCTTATCTTACGACCCGCTCCTGTGGCTGACTCCCACGGCATCAACGCGCAAGACGTACACACTACTCGGGAAAACACATGAATGAACATCCCGAGGCAATACCGTATCGAAAAAACAGGCATAGGATGCACCACAAAGCTCCTGTGTTAAGTAAACGTGAACAACGTTTCTCCCGACCTAAACACCGCTCCCGTCAAGTCAAGAATGCCCCAAAACCAAGCTCGGCCAACCAGCCTCTCATACCTCGTGCGATTAAAAGAATTATGATGTTCCTCCAACATGACATACCGCATGCATACACCATCTATCAACGAGCAGCGGTGAATATACGGGATCCACACCCGGCCGTGTCAGACCTCCACCGCCAAAAACAACACTAAAAAAGGCTTCCGCGGCCGTAGTTACACCCCCGTAGGTGTGGTTGACAGCTCTATATTTTGGCAAGAAAATGTTGTTTTGGCCGCGCGGTCCCAGCTATCGTCGTCCAGTTGTCGCCCGGCCGTTTCGACGGGAATCATGCCTGCAAATGTCATGTGTAAGGATTAGTCCGAAGGTCTGTCCAGCGTAAACGAAATTCGACTGACGGAGGGGAGACGTACGGTTCACGCGCGAACGACCACCTTGTGGTATCGTGTAGGCAAGCACGCGAAACAAATCAAGACAAGCCAACCCGTGGACGACGCGCAGATGATGGCCACCCCCAGCAAGCAGGCAGGCACTTCGGTCATCCGTAGACTGCTGTCGAGCGCCTGTACAGGAAGCGGCTGAACCCTAACCCTCGCTTCTCACGATGACAAGTAGACGCCGCACATGGAGTAGCCCAACAGCCCGTGCGACAGCCAGCTATTGCAAAAAAGAGGGGACGGGGGGGCACCCGAAGACCTGCAGTTCGGCCGCAACGGCTGTACCGCTGGCCGACGAGAACGACTATTTCCGGAACAAACTCATCGCCTGGGCCCTACCCCATCACCTGCCCACCTGCACCTTGACGCCGGCACCAACCGAAGCCTTTGAGGCTTAAATGCTTTGGAGTGGAGGACTCGTCCAGCTAAACCCTCCCAATTTCGGGCGTTCGCTGTTCATTTTGCCAATATCGCTGTCACGGCCGATGCACTCCAAATAGAAACTACAAGAGGGCCGACGCATAGATAATCTTGTGCATCCGTCGTTAATAAAAATACCTACCGGTAGACAGATGTTGGATCCCCAAGAAGGGCGGTCGCGCCGATGATTTCGAGTAGAAACACAGTCAGCCGCCCGGCTTACCTCCGAACTCGTCATAGAAAACGTTTTAACGAATGAATCTACTGTAGCCCCCACGTGTGCTGAGAGCAATCCAACATTGAGAACGGCAGCGCTGGTTGAAAATGATCCACAGCATCGCTCGTCATACCTTGTACGTATTCCCTAGGATTATCTTTCGAACCTTGTCTCAAATTCGGATCCCAACTAGAGCAGCTGTAGAAGTTGACAAATGACTGCTCTTTCCCGAAAAATGACAACTCAATCCCCTGAGAAAATCGTCATAGGGGCTCCGGATCTGTTATTGAGTCTGCTGAAACGCGCGTTGCTGCGGCCCGCCAGCGCATCGGAAACACACCAACGCCAACAACAAACGAACAATAAACTCAAAACATACCCGCGGCGATGCCGGTGATGATCATGATCGGCCCGAACACCAGCAAGGGGGCAACCGGACCCCAGCCGTCGTACAACACTTCCGCCAGTACGGGTGCCAACAAACCTGAAACAACAAGAGGAAGAAGAGAGAGCCAAAGTTTAGAGCCGTTCTCGTGTCAACAACAACAAGCCCCCAAACCGCAGTGTTTGTTGTGTGAGCGCAGGAAAACCAGACACCTGTTGTAGCATTCAGTATCTTGAACGAGGTGCGTTCCGCTGGCCAAAAACAACGAAGAATGAATTTCCAGGGCATAAGCAGACTCGTACATATGTGGAGGGGTGGAGGAGGTGTAAGGACGCCCGTAAGCATCGATGTTGCTCAACGGTAGTTCAATGTTGTTGCTCGAGTACTGCTGCTCATGGTTTATACCGAGCTTTGGAAGTGTGCGTGGGAGTAAGACCCTCCATACCATTCAGCCCACGTGTGAGGAAGCAGGCAGGAGTGGTGCAATGACGGGCATGCAACTCCGGTCGGATGGTCCGTGCAGAATCAGCGAACGCGTGATTATCGACATATGCAGACCTATCTCTAAAATACACGGCAGCAGCAAAGTGGACAGCCCGTTCCTTCCGCACAAAACCCCGACTCAAATCGTAACAGCAGCAGCAGCCGAGTAGGCAACCGCCAAAATGTACTTCACATACAAGAAGCAGCAATACTCGGCATGTCTGCCGTACCAGCCACCCCAACAACAGCGACACGACACATGCTCGCGGCGGCCAATCTCTATGGAACAAGACTTTTTAACGGTACCAGTACCAGGGAGCATAACAAGCAGTGAATCTGCTGCACAGTAGCCCGCACCTCCAAGGCGCGTAGCAACGCTCGAGCTTCCCAACCCCACTGCCCGGTACTTTGTCGAGTAAAGTTCCGGCGTCATCACGTACTTCACGGTCGCAGGGACGGCTAGCAGAACACGTTGGCAAGCAGGCGGAGGGGTCGGAGCAAGGCGTACTTTCAAACGCGTTGTCTGTCCGAGATCATTTGAACATGGTTCACGCATCCTACTAATCCACGCTTGTTATTCTGCGTAGAGGTATGTACTACCAACACCTTGCGTCCGGGGGGGGGGGCTCCACGAGTGCGCTTCGGTGTGTACGCAAAAGCTTGGGCAGGGGACAGGGAACGGAACGGATCTTCACCCATCAAACGCCGCCTGCACCACACAACCATCGAAAACGAAACTCTATTCCATGTTCTGAATAGGGTTCTCCCAGCTACTTTTGGAGGAACAGCCTGAGGAATACTGCGCGACACGCAAGGCGCCAATGACCTCCACTGTATAGCGCGCATACGGCACCGTGAACGAGGGCATTTGGTACCACAAACCACCTGGCCGGGGAAAGAAAGCTGTTGTCACTGTTTTGGACAAACAATCCAATGAAGTGGATGGTATCCAGAGAAGCGTCGAACGGTAGTCTGCCACCACAACATTCCGACACCGACATGGAAGGGTGGTTGCAGAGAAAAAGCGTCAAAATGTCCACCGACGACGCCCGGTCAATTTGTCGCAGATGTTGAGACTTTGCTTTATTGCTTTTTATCGCAATCTGGACAGCAGTACCACCTGCTACAGCCGTCCGGCCCCTCTCTGCCTCTCTTGTAAATAGTACTTTGAAGAACGAATTTTCGCACAAAACAAGCACGCGAACACACACAACCGCACTCACCCGTAATGAACAGGACCAAGATCGACGCCAGCCCGAAGAGGGCATTTACTCGCAGGGTCGTGGCTAGCAGAATGACGGCGGCGGCCGTGGCATAGGAAGACCACTTGAGAGCACCCACGCGACCGAGACGATGCTCCGAGCACAGCCACATGGCTGCGAACGCGCCTGATATTGGGACCAGGACCAGGAGGAGGGATGAAGGGTGACGTGGTGTTAACGAAACGAACAAAGTACGTACGGAAGTGGACCCATGTTGACTGAAACATAGAGGCAGGCCTGCGTCAATCCAGGTGTCGGTGGTCGTACTTCAAAGCGTTGGCGTGCGAACCTAGCAGCGGGTGCAAGGAAAGGTTGCGCAGGGACACCACGTGTTTTGACTGCTTTTTCGTGGGCAAAACTACTGCTGTGCCGTACCGAGACGCATCACACACAAAAAACAAATACTCCTCTAAAATTACATACTCTGGTTCCGTGGTTAAACTCAGATCACCAAGAACTGCACATTACAGTAGTACGAAGTACAACAAAACATAGCCGTGCCCGAAAAGCGAGGCTTAGCGTACAGTCGAAGAGTGCACACAACCTCGACCGTGACATCGCCACCAGATACGATCAACTACCCTACATATTCTTGCTTACACCACTTCGCTCCGTATGGTCTCGCCGTCGGGGGTCCTGCTGAGCTGCGGCAAGGCTTACCCGGGATGCACGTTACCCCAACGCAAGCGCTGAGGATGTACACGAAGTCCGCTTGCCCGCCCGAGATCTTATCGTAGTACCTCGGCAGCAAGAAGGTCACACCGAAATTGCTGTAGCAGTCGTGCCGTCCATGAGGCGTGGGGAATGGGGTAGGGGGAGGAAGGGGGGGGTGCAGGTAGGTATATGACGAGGTGCATCATCGCCTGCGAAACGAAAAGATCGATCAACCTGACAGGTCTGGTGGTGGTTGACATCCTCAGAACTTTGGTTGACCGTAGGCGGTGCAGGTCCATCGGGTCAAACGCGCCGCTCGCGTCAATTTCAGAGTACGGCCCCAATGGCTGAATTAGTACCTGGCGATGGCACACACAGAGCAGGCGAACAGAAGTGGCGCCCCATACCACGGGGGGTCCCGGAGTGCATACACAGATTGCTCCAAACCTCGATGAGCCCAACTCAAGAGGTTCTTTCGAATATCAGGGGTTTATTGTGGTACAAACCATTATATGCATTACTACAGGATTTACGATGTCCATACTTTAGCCTACAGATCTCTGTATTTTACAGAAGTGGCGCCCCATACCACGGGGGGTCCCGGAGTGCATACAAAGATTGGTCCAAACCTCCTTGAGCCCAAATCGAGAGGTTCTTTTGAATATCAGGGGTTTATTGTGGTACAAACAAATATATGCATTATTACAGGATTTACGATATCCATACTTTAGCCTACAGATCTCTGTATTTTGGGGCATTGTAGAATTTCATCATCAGGTCTAAAGTAATAAACATAGCCACAAATCCTACACAACATACAATAGAACCCCCAACGAAGCTTCGATACGCCCACAAAAGAAACGAGGGGGGGGGGGATCACTGTGTGCACGCCGGGGCCCCCTTGTCTGTACATGGAAGAAACCCCATAGGAGTCGTGAGGGTTCCGACTCGTGTACAACGCTGCACTCGGCTCCCACCCACCCACGAAACCAAGGCCAGCGCACATCTTATAGTTACGACTTGCCGCAACAAAAACCCGTCCATTGCGTATACTTCAAAGTATCTATCTTTCTCCGAACCACCCAGCATACCCCTGCTTTCTTCCCACCTAATATTCACGGTGAACCAGACCACCCATCTGGGACGAGCACACGGGACGAAAAAAGCGGACAACGAGCGGAGCAAGGCAAGCTCAGCCAGGGGAAAGGAAACACGAGCAACACGAAGGGAGCTACAACATGACCGCCAACATTCGAGTGCGTAAGGAATGCACGGATTGAGTGCATTTGGTGCGGGAACGAGAGAGGAGAGAGAAGGGGAAGGAGGCGCGTGAGGGGGGCCGAAGATGAGGAGGTGGGGGCGGACCGAGCGACGACAACGAGGGTCGGCCTACACTCGGCGAGGGAAGACGTTCACCAAAATGCTGCATCAGCACACGGCCGAAAGAGGTGCATCGTGACCAAAGAAACAGCGGCACAAACATCGACGTGAAGCATGAACGACACGCGTGCCAAAAAACGGGTGCTTCATGAGCCCTGTCGGACATGCAGATCGCCTCTATCATCCATCCGGCTGTACTCTCTCTCTCACACACACGCCCCGCCGCCGCCGACGCCACGCGCATCTGGCCTGATACGCCGCCCAATACTCACAGGGACAGCGTGATCCTTCGGAGGATGGGAGTGTGGAACAGCTCGCGTACATCCCCGGCCTCAGCGTTCTCCGCTTCCTGCCCGTGCGCCGAGGCGTCTCCGATCCCGCCAGAGTCCAGATCTGTCAGAGAGAGACCGCGCCATCGTCATCTGCCAACATTTATGTGACGTTGACTTACGAGTGAGGTGTTGGGGTCACCCCACGCCCAAAGGAAACAAGCCACATGTTTGCTTATCGCTACGGCCGATTGCGCAAGAATGATGTCGTGCCCGCTAGAAAAATGCCGTCGTTATCATGGAACCTATCCTATGTTGTCAATTATGTGTGAAGTTGGGCTTTTTGTCCAATAGGAGAGGCACCGGGAAGTTGCTTCTGGCGCATCGATCGACTTGTGCCTGGATGCATGCGTGTCGTACGTTGATGTCCCATTGATCTGGACGTCCATTTTCACAATCTTTCGGCATGCTTTCGGTCGCACCAACCGGGGTCACACAGGAGAATGGTAGCATAGGATGTGTTTTTTCTTCCTCCCCTTTCCTACCACCGTGTTCTTGCCTTAACCTTCGTCCCGAAGACGATTCAATGTTTCTGTCGACCCGAAGCCGGGTCCTTTGTACACACGAATGAATCACCATCGGCCATTACTCGGGCAAAATGCAAGACTAATACCAACCTCGGTTCGAGTGACCGCTCCAAGATTCGAAGTCATGTCAAACCGCCAGCGGGCTGGCAGGTTGCAAGGCCACCAACGGACCCACGGAAGCAGTCAGCTCTTCACGGAACGGTCTAGCATTGGTGATATACCACCGTCTGTTACTTCGCATACGCACGAACCGCGGGTTTGGTATGGAAACCTGAGATTCCTCTCGAAACAAGGGTAATGGACTGACCGGGAATGAGGCGTGTGGAGACAAGAGATATGCATATCAGCCTCGTTCGGTAGCTCTCCAAATCTTGCACCCCCATTATTTTCTCTCCACACACACACCCCTCGAAACCACAATGGGAATACGGATAGAAACCTGACGACCCGGCGATCCGAAGGCGTAGATTGTCTCCCTCGCCGACCGATTGCCCTGAAAAGTCCAAACCAAGCACGTCAAGCTTGCCGTTCATTCTCGCCACGTGCTCCAGCACCTGTAGGATGGATACCAGAAGGACCTCAATCAATCTCGTTATCAGTGGCTTGGGGCAACCTTCCGCTTCTCTCATTTTCCGAAGGTCTTCCACTAGAGACCGCCCTTCAATGAGTAACCTCGCAGTGCGGTCCTTCAAGACAACCCCTTCCGCCTCCGCAACCCCGAAGAAGGCGCCAATTCACCCCCCGAGTCTCCCGAACGCGCTCTGACGGCGTCGCCCTCCCTGTATTCCAATCCCAGCACATCCCACCCTACCTTCAAGAGGGTAACGTCTTAAACTACACCTGGACCTCCTTCGAAACGCCACACGATACACAACATACCTGAATCGCCTCGTCGTGCCTCCCCATGACTTGCAGGAAGCGAGGAGATTCAGGAAGCAGCTGGTAGGCCACGGCCACTATTGCGGATGGAAGCGCGGCCACCCCAAGAAACCAGCGCCACATAGCCTCTTCCTTCCTGTGGCGTGCAACGTTCGTTCGAGGACTTCGATAGGGCACGTGTCACGCCAGGATGTCAGCATCGCAAGGTTTGATCTCGCGCTGCAAATACGAGCGGTAAGTATGTTTTAGTCAAGAGGGGGAATCTTTAGCGACAAGGCACGTTTTTAGGAGAAGAAAAATGGCTTGCCGCACCAAAAAAAAAGATGTAACGAGTCTGTATTTTACATTATTTGGCCACGTACGGTTGAACACAGAGTTCTCTGTCACAAACCGAAGCCACGATCGAAGAGATCTCATCTGGCTTTGCACAACCCATGATGAAACCGTAGCCGACACCTTACCCGGTAATAGACAGCGCCAGAGTTAGACTTGACCGAGATGATATCGGGGGCATCTATGATGTTGGATGTCCGGACAAAGTCGAAGGGGGGCGCTAGATAGCGGTTTTGGGACACACAAACTCACTACCCGTCACCGTCAAAGGTTTGCCGAAGAGCGCGCGCAGGGGGTGGCGTGCTATGAGTGATGGCGTTCGGAATATACGTCCAACACGTACCCGGCCCCGAGAACATTGGCGAGGATTAGGCCAAGGAGGGAAGCGGAGATCATGCCGATGCCCCAGAAAGTTCCAGCCGTTGTGCAGAGAACATTAGACCTATCGTTCGTTGGCACAAATTCGGTGACGAGCGCGGTTGCCACCGGCAAGTTACCTGCCGTCAGAGAAGAAACGCAGGACGACCCGGGCATAAGGAACTGCGGTGCCGTCTTTATGCTGCCTTGGGTGCGCTGGTGGTATCACTTTCAGGCAGGTGTGAAGCCCTCGCCGCACGACGTGACGACGCACGAGAGAGATTCCAAGCAACTGTATCGGCTGCCTCTAGTTGTATCATCATTACGGCATGAGCCGGAGGCGTGCAAAGTGCTTGGCTGGACTAGATAGAGGGCGTGGAGGACACGCTTCGCAAATTAAGGTTAGTTGGACAGCGGTGACGGTGAACGGAAAGCTGAGCCAAGTAAACGGGATGCTTGGTGGCGTTTTCAGCATCTTCTAAGCACTGAAATCGCCATTTTGCTCTGTTTTGACACTTGAATGGCGCCGGCCACGCTGCTAAAGTTGGTTTCGCTGACCATCTATCTGGAAAGAAACCCTAAGGAACTTGGCTTTTGTGTGTCCTGCGTGCCATACCTCCTACGCCGAAGCCGACGAGCACTCGGCACAGACAGAGAAGATGAAATGACGATGAGAAAGCGGAGAAGACCCCGCCGACAAAGGCGCAGGCCAGGGACGACACGAAGGCGGTCCTGCGGCCGCGTTTGTCGGCATAGATTGACCAGAAACCCGCGCCGACAAGCATTCCTGCAGCGGAGAGGGAGGAACATGTAGAGGAGACGCGAAACGGGGTGAAAAGGCAAATCACGAAGATGGTGGCGTTGGGGGATTCTAAACCTTTCGGTGACGTAGCACGGCGTGTGCCCGTTCACCTTGCTGACGACACACACACTGACCACCTTGGCAAACCCTCGGAAACGTCTGTCCCTTTGAGTGTCACCTCCTCTTTCCCTGCCCCCCGTCCCCCCGTCCCCCGTCCGCTCGCGCCCGCGCTTGTCGCCTTACCAAAGAAACTGGCACTGCCGACTAGCCCCTTTCCGACGCTGCTCAGCTCGAACGAGGTCGCGATGGCTTCCAGCGCAAATGCCAACACAAGAACTTCCATCGAATCGACTGCCCACCCCTGGCAAGCAGAAAGGGACAAGAGAGACAGCAAGGCACGAAACCACAACAAAACACGAGGAAAAGCAGAGCCGTGGGCACGTGTGGGAGAAAACCTCGTGAAGTCAGCGAATGGGAGATGGGGCATGTCGGTTTTCCGATCCCCCCGGCGACGGCAGGAGAGGGAAGAGAGATAAAACATAGACCGCTCCTAAACCGACATCTGCAGATAGCCAGTGTCCTGCTGACAACATCGCGCCAGCTTCCGATTAATGAGCGGTTACGAGAGACACACACCCACCCTCCAATGACCAGGCACAGCTGCAGTAGAGGCACCGCACAGTCATTCAACAAACCGTTTGCACCTTCGGCGCATGCCATTTCTTCGTCAGCAACAACAAGTGACGCTCGGCGAACTTTCGATGTGGCTCCTTCCCTTCGCGTTGCGCTATGAAGTACCTACCTTAATGTGTGGCGCGGGCTATCTATCGCTTCCGTGGCACGCGTCCTAGTCCTTCACCTGATCTGTGTGCGTCTGCTGCCAGTGCTACTTTGCTGATGCTTAGGCATGATGCTACGCACAGATCTCTAGAGGGGACGCAAAAGAAAAACAGGTTGGAAACACAGGTTGTGTATTCGTGTGCCTGTCTCTCAATTATTTCCCAGGAATACTAAAAAGGCCCAACAACCACAGCTAGTCGGATGTTCGTGTGTTCCGCAGTCGAATTAGTGAACAACGCAATGTTTAAAAAACTCTTTTCATGTTCTTGCCCTTGGTGCACCCGCAGAGAGAAAGAGGGGGGGGGAGGTCTTTGTACGTAAGGTGACCTTCATTTTTCGTATGGGTCCCTGGTGGTCTAGTGGTATCCTCGTAATCCGCTAGTCGCAGAGGTCGTGAGTTCGAATCCCCATGGGGTGAAAAAATTGCGAAATTTGCGGGTGAAAGCGAAATATAGCGAAAAAGCTTTCATGAGTACCAAACTTCGACGTTAGCACCGTTGACGAGGGAAATGGACGGCTGGACCCTTCTCGCCATAAAAAAAAAATTCAGCACACACCGCAGGAGGAAGGTGGGGCATGAAAAGAAATAAAAAGAGGAAAAAAGAAAAGCCCTGGTGTATACCCCCTCCTGTGTGACCCTGGATAGTTGTAGTTGTACGAAGAAATACACTGAAAAGTGTAGCACTCTACATACGCTGAAAAGTGTAGTACACGTCTCACACAAAAAATGGGGGGACTGTCGCCATAATAAATAGGACGAACACACACACACAGCCCTCGAAGATCGAGCTGCAAGTAAGGCAAATCACTATGCGGGAACTTTCAACCCGTCTAGATCTACCCTCCTTACTGCTGCTTTTTCAACGAATGGTGGTCTTGGCAAAGGCACCAATCGACTCATCGTTGCTATCGCCAACCACTTGGCGCACGAAGCTTTTTGCCGGGAAAATTTTGACGACGAGAGGGCCTTAGTTCGCCTGAAAGCTTTTCATACTAACAGGATTCGGAGACGGTTTACCTTCGAGCTAGCTCGTTTTCTGTCGATGCGAACTCGCGATGTGTTCAAACGTCATGGGCTACTGATCGACCAACTTCCACCAGGGCCAATCGGTTGGGATCTCTGCGACAACGATAGTAGTGAGGGTAATTCTTTTGGGAGTGACGAAGACGAAGGAAAGGGAAAGGGGAGAAAGGAGGATGACGACGATGGAGCAGAAAAACATGGAGGAGTGGAAGAGAGCAAAGGGTTTGAGCCAGATGACCTTCCCCACAACAAGAAACGTAGGGCTAGGGAAGAACTGCCCAGAGATTCTTCTTGTCGAAATGAGGATCAGAATGATGGTAGCGAAAACAAGGAGGACACTGGTGAAAGTACTCCTAAACGAACTCGAGTACTAGGTAATAGCCTTGGTAGACGCGTGCATTTTTCGTCTGTTGCTGCTGTTTCTGTTTTTAATCCGAAGGATAGTTTAGCCTCCCCCATGCTGCCCCCTCACGGGGTCCCAGTTCATGGTAGATAGAAGTGTTTTGTGTTTTCAACCGCACTAAGACTGACGTCTTTTCATTGGTCAGCCGGTTAGCGCGGTCGATGCTAATAATAAAAACACACACACACACACACTGGTGTGCACTAAACAGGCAGACCTCAGACGTGGTTCAACAGCAGCAGCAGCAGCAGTAGAGCAGCAGCGACAAAAGCACTCCGGTGTGGCACGAAATGCGCCACACGAAGGCTGCACATGTTCATCGGCTTGAGCGTACTATTAATGCTGCCCAGTGTTCCAGATTTAGGCCGCAGGACAAAGTCGGTTACCGCAACAACACGTTGCAGCCCCTCGTAGGGAGCCCCCGGGAAGGCGCTCCCCGCCTCCCCGGAGAGACTGCCGGAGCCATGTTTTTTACGATTCCACGTGCTTCTTGCGATGACCATTCAAAAAGCAAAACAAAGTCAAACATTATACTTCGTATTGTGTTTTCATCTGTTTCGCAACATAATATGTATCGTTTCCTGGGGAGAAAGAGAGACTTGAACTTCTTCTCGCCTGTGGCGCGGCGAGATACAGCGCCTAGTTTAGTTTTCTGAAAGTGCCGCGATTGTTTTTTCGCCTTGTGCGTACTCAAGCCCTGTTTTTACGTAACAAATTGCACCTATATTGAGCACCCAATTAATTGGATTAACCTAATTGGGTTTTTGGCCAACAAGCGCCTGCGTCGTTGTAACGTAATTTGCCACGCCCTAATGCGAATCGAGGTTCAGCATGCCCAACGGCGGCGGAATCGCTGCCGCGAGGTGACGCGGTCACCAAACAGAAGCTGTAAAAAGTAGATCAGGTGCTCAACATTGTTTGGACTGTCTCGCTGCACAAACCGGACGTTGATATTCGACATCGTACATTTCGGGAAGTAACTTCCACAGCAACCCACCTAACGCGAAAAGTTGACACTCTCGCAGAATCATTGAAACACAGCTATTTCCCAGCAGTGGGCAGTGGGCGATGCGTGTGAGTGTCGCTTGGTCAGATTGCCACATGCGGTCCAGTCAGAGGCAACGCCAAGACGAGGTCAGCCCATCATGGAGGGTGCAAAACGGGTGCAGAGCAACTCGGGTAATCCGATTCAGCTTAAGTCAATCCAATTTTCCATTGTTTTCTACTCTACGCAATACCAAAGTCTCGCTTTTCCGGGCAGCAAACCCCTCATCGTGTATTTTGCTGTTGAATCGATCAATCACCGTATCTGCCCCCCCCCAACCTTCGTTTTTTTAGGGCGTCTACTTTGGTGACGATTGTGACACTTCTAGTCTGGAGGCCCAAATGGGCACACTTTTGGACACAGCACTAAACATCTATGTATCGCACCGCAGTCATCTCTACAGCAGTGCTGGCTACCACATAAGAGAGGTGTGACCAGCCGAAATCCTTCTAGTAAATAACCAAATTTCTCTTAGTTCGTTTAAGAGATTTTTTCTATTATTACAAGGAAAGTGCGATATAGGAGAAAATTCGCTTATTTCGTAGCCAAATTCTCGAGGGCCGTTTTAGAGCAGGGATTCTTCCAAATTGATGTTAGAGCTCCATGAGCGCATTCAAAACCATGTGAAGGTCATACTGTTGCAACGACATCGCGTAGTTCTCACTCAACGCACAGCAGTTGTGATGCTTTTTTTAGTGCATGCCCATAGAACATTAAAAATGTCATGCGTACTTAGGTTTGCGGGTCTGCTACGCGCTGTGCCTACCAATGCTTGCCCCAGCGAAAACAGTGCTTTCACGTGACGCATACGCCCTTACAAGTATATGCATGCTTGGTCTTCTTTACAGGAGTTTTCTTTGGTTTCTTTGGGCTGCCAGAAGACTTTGCATTGACTGTGGCGCTAGCCGTCGGGCCAGTCGTGGCCTGTCGTGTCGATTAGCCCGGCAGAAGACGCCAGCTTCAACAAAATACGTACGCGGCAGCTCGGCAGCTGTTCTGCTGTAAAACCCAGAGTGCCAGCACATGCCAACAGCTCGGCGTTGGCGCGACAACTGTCAGAATGGCTGTGGAGTGAGCGTAAATGTGTGGGTGGCGCACAGTAGCGTTTCCAGCGGGCATACAGTAAGGCGATGACCGAAGAAATATGATGGTGTTGATGTGTCCCAAATGATAAAGTTGTGGCAATACACGAGACAGAGAGCGGTTTGAACAGCAGTACGTCAAGCACACCGCGGCCGAGTGTCCAACATGGAGGTCGTACCTCAGCCAGTGCGCCCAGGAAGAGCGGACTCAGACCACAACATCGTAGTAGCCACCGTCGACCTCGGTGGCCGGCTGGCCCACAACCGACCTATCCGGAGCAACCCCAAACGGCGGCAGTTCAACCGACAAGATCTGCAGGTCGAGGCAGCGCGATGGGCTGTATCCCAACGGTTTCTCTGCAACCTGCTCGCGAGGTCGGGCGCGCCGGCGACCACCACGCAGGAAATGGCGAAGGAGTTCACGGAGGCCCTGCTCGGCGCGGCGGAGACGGAGCTGTCTGAGGAACCCCGGAGGCGGCGCACCACGGAATGGAACATGACCACCGCGGCACGGACAGCCCTGGCGACCGCCCTTGACAAGCGACGGGCTGCGCGACATTCCTTCAAGGCCGGACCGAACGCAGCAACGTGGAGGATCCTCAAAGCAACGTGCAAGGGGGTGAAGGCAACAATCGCAACGAGCATCTACGACCACCTGGAAAGATACGTGACGGAGCTCGAAGCGATCTACCAGGACCGCGACATGCGGGGGCTGTACCAACACCTCAAGCGGTCAACGGGCCTCAGCGGGAGACAAGCTGGGGGGCAGCAGTTCG